CACATTTCAGACTTAGTATGTATTATGAGATTTTCAGACTTATGCATGTATAATGCTTTTATCTCCGTGGTACCTTTATATAACGGATTTGATTAGGTTGCATGTATTTATTTACGTCTGCATGAGAAAGAGTTTAAGTTAGTAGCATCCCGCAAGTTAGTATGAGTATTTTCGAAAATAAAGTTTAAGAGTTTTTCGAAAATAAAAAGCAAAAATTTTACTCTGATTTTATAAATTCTAGAAATAATAAGGCGGGGTGTTACACAGTAAGTACTAGTTTTGTTCATTTTGGACGAACATGTGTTATTTGCAGCTCAAAAATTATTTGTTGCACACATTTTTTGTAGGTGGATCTAAATGCAAAAACACTTAGGAAGAAGTCGTTCCCGTATTTTAACGATTGGCAAGAAATTTTTGGGAAGGACAGAGCTACGGGAGAAAACGCACAATCATTTGAAGATGCAACCGGTGAAGTTCCTGAGCATGACATGGAGGACCAAATGGAGTCGGATAACGAAGATGTTCCAGTTCAACAAAACCCACGCGAGGGAAGCCCGGGCATTCGCATGGGTTCCACTTCAGGTACGGAGTCTGGGACCCGTGGTACGGCAGATAAGAGGCTGAAAAGTGGAAAAAAGAAGGGAGTTGGTCAGTGGGAGGACCGTTTTTTGGATATCATGCAAACCTTTTCCCAAAGTACAAAAGAGACATTGAAAGGTATTGCGTGTAGTCTTGGGGTTGCGTATGAAGAGGAAAAGAAAAGGAATGCGGTGTTTGACGCATTTTCTGATATGCACTTCCTCTCAAAAGAGGATAAAATGGTTGTGACGATGCGCCTATGTAAGAACGCACAGGAGTTGTCGATGTTTTTCAGCCTATCCATGGAAGATAAAGCTATCATGGTCAAAATGATGCTAGATGGACGTTTGTAGATGGTATGCGTTTGTGTGTGTTTGTAGAATGTTGTTCTAACTTTGTTTCCTGGTAGGATTTGCGAATGAAACTTATTTCTTTTGTGTGCTCTTTTTGGATTATGGTTCTTTTGGATGGTGGTTTTGGATGGTTGTTCTTTTGTATGATGGATTGGATGATGGTTCTTTTGTACGATGGATGGTTCTTTTGTACGATGGATTGGATGATGGTTCTTTTGTACGATGTGGTTATATTTGAATTTGGATCTTAGTTCAATTGCGGTCCTTGTTTTGTTTTGAAAATGTAGTTGTTTTCTTTCTATGAAAAGAAACAAAGATAATTGCGCAAAGAAGTACACAATAACACACATTACTTTGGTGTACTAGTTCAAATCAAAACAGATGTGAACCTTGAACAATAAAACAGTCCAAACACAATGTTGACGAGCGTTTTCGGTCAACGGTTAGAAATAAAGAATATTGAAAGCAGGACT